AAGCAAATTACATCGGGCTTTCCAAATATTCCAACAAGTGAATGCAATATACGATAGCATATTTTTCCTCACCTCACTCGCCCCCCTCGCTGAATCAAACCTCTGGAGCAGCCAGCCCGCCCAAGACGAAGTATCCGTCTGGTTAATCCTCATACCCAAGCTTCCCCTGAACCAAACAGCCTCCACCCACGGGCATTGCAAAAATAGATGCACAATTGTTTCATCCTGTTTTAGACAAATAGGGCACAACGGAGATGGGGCAGATCTCCTTCGGAACAGGTTTGCCATAGTAGCCACAACTTTGCTCTCTACAATTTGCATGGAAGCTTTAGTTGGGTTCCAACTTTACACAAACTAAGGGTTTCGACCGATTTCTCATTTACACGGGGTCAAGGGCTCGGATTTTTTGTTTTTAGGCTCCGGACATTAAAGTTCAAAGAGGATTCAAATTTCAAATTTGTGTTCAATCAATAGAATCCAAACGAACAAAAATAAGTTCTAACATCAACATGATTATTCATGCCGTGGGTCAAGTTGACACGAGCAGTGTGTCGGTCTCCACCCCTCAGATGTATAAGTTAGTATCGAACTTTTATACTCATATAAGATATTTCACTTATATGTGAATAAAACCAAAAAAAATATTTTAAAAATCCACGTCAGCACGTAGCACTAATAAATAGACAAAGGGTGTGCGGTTGTGCAGATAGCTGACTCAGACTGCGTAACGTGACGATTCGCATTTGCATTTCGTCCACCGCGCAAATCCAAACTACCAGAAAAACAAATCACGCAACCAAAGCGCGACGTCGCCGCCCAAGGACCTCCGAATCCATGGACCTCATGTCTCATTCCTCCACCTTCCTCCTCCCTACGATCCCGCCCAACCAAACGCCGTCTCCCACCTACGCGCTCGTCTTGCTCAACCAGAGCCTCCCGAGATTCGCTCCTTTGCTCTGGAACCACGGTACTTATCCTCCACCTCTCCATTTTCCTCTTCGTTTTTCAAATTTTCAGCTTTCGATTTTGTTTCTCTGAGCTTTTTTGTGGTGCGTGTTTGTGTAGAGCAGCACAACTACGTATGTGTGCCGATGGCGGTGCCAATCGCGTTTACGACGACATGCCCCTTCTGCTGCCGCACGAAAACGCCGTAGATGTTCGGAAAAGGTTTTTTTTTTTATTGTTTTCCTTGATTTTTTAAATTATTTTTTTGGGGGATTTTTACTGTAAGTAAATTGTAAAGTATGGCTTTTGATTGATTCGATTCTTTAACTGTGTTAGCTTAATTGTAAAAGTTGATTGCTTTTTTAAGCTGTTTAAATCCGTTGCTTTTTCCAGACCGCTTTTTGTTGTTTGAAGCAATTTCTGCTTACTTGCTCGATTTTTCTCGAATTTTTTTTGAAGTTGATTGCTTTTTGAAGCTGTTCAAATCCGTTGCTTTTTCCAGACCGCTTTTTGTTGTTTGAAGCAATTTCTACTTGCTCGATTTTTCTCGAAATTTTATGTTTCTTTAGCTATCTGTTGAAGTTTTGAAACTTAAGTGGGGTGCTGTTTGGAAGGCATATGGTGGAGTGTAATTTTCCCTTGTGTTTATGATGACGAATTTCCGCTTTTTGATACTAAGTGCTGATGTTTGTGCCAGGTACAAGCCCGATGTTATTAAAGGCGACATGGATTCAATCCGAAAGGATGTCTTGGAATTTTATGCTAGTATGGTAAGTGAGCTTGTTTGAACACGGATCTTCTGTGTAATTCTTAGTATGTTTAGCTGTCATTCCTTGTCATATCTACCAAACTTGTGGAATTGTTTGTTAATGTTGTCATCCTTGGAGTTATGTTGCATTTGATGTCGCGGTGGTACTGTTGCTAAATTGCTAATTGATTTGCATACATGCGGTGCTCTGGAGTTTTCTCAGGATGTCTCTTTTGCTATTTGAATGCAGGGAACTCAAATTATTAATGAATCTGAGGATCAGGACACAACCGATTTGCATAAGTGTATAACATACATATGTGACTCGGCACCAAACCTAGATAAGTCTAATGTATGTTGTGTATTATTATCTTTCCAACATTCGTTTTGTTTTTCTACTGGAATTTAGTCTGATTTTGTAGGTGCTTTCGTATAACTTTCGGTAACTAAAACTGTGTCCTTACTCCTTGCAACTTATTGTGAGTTGGGTAGTCAAATTTGTTGATTACAGATTTTGACACTTTGCTAAATAGACTGCTAGTTTGTTTTTCACCTCTATACATGAACTGAGTTTCTTCCCGATGTATTGCCAGCTATGCATTCTGGTTGCTGGGGCACTTGGTGGACGGTTTGACCACGAGATTGGAAACATCAACGTGTTATGTCGATTCTCAAACATTCGAATAATTCTCATATCTGATGATTGCCTCATCCATCTTCTTCCAAGAACACACCGCCATGAGATCCATATTCAGTCTTCTGTTGAAGGCCCTCATTGTGGACTCATACCCATTGGGATGCCATCTGGAAGTACTACAACCACTGGACTTCAATGGGATCTCGGTGAGTATCTCTTAAGAGCGTAAGGCTAGTTAATGCTTACTTTTATTGTATTAGGGGTTCACTTAGCATATACTTTTCTGGTCACCTCTTCCAGTTCTGACCTGCTTAAATGTGACCAAAAAGGGTAAAGGTGTGTCTAATATTGATTTCATTGTTCATGTTTCGAGTTATCTAACAGCCCGTGTACGGCAAGACACTGGTCACATATTCTATCTAATTTGAGTGGGAAACGTATGTGCAAGTCACATATGGTTTGTTGGTGGGAACTGCATTGAGACTTGGGTTGAGGGCTTTCTTTTACAGTGTGGTATCATTGGGATGACATGGTGAAAACATTTGATCTGTTCGTAGCTGTGCAATTTATTACCGGAGCCTAACTCGCGCTTTACTTTTCTTTTCCAGCTGAAACGGAGATGAGGTTTGGTGGTCTGATAAGTACATCAAATATCGTCAATGGAGAGAAAATAACAGTGCAGTCAGATTCAGATCTTCTTTGGACTATAAGCATTAAAAAGATGTAGTGCATTTGGAGATGAGGTGGGCAAAGCTGCAGATCCCACAATCTATTCCTTCCGTTTCCAAGGTTCCTTTCACTTAGCTGTGTAAGTTTGTTTTCGGGTTCAATTTTCATTGGTTTTTGGCGATCCTTATACGAAGAACGTTGCATCATGTTTTCGCTCCCCTCTTTTGAATTCTGTAACGTTGTTTAAACTCCATCCATATCATATTGTATTTTTGTAACTATTCTAAATAAAAGTCATATTTACTATGTAGAAGAAGATGTTGGAGTCCTTCTGCACACAATCTTTTGCAAATTTGTGTTCTTTTCTCAATTTCGGCTTAAATTTTGTTGTCACATTTCCTTTTCTTCTTGCCCCCAGTGGCATCAACATTGACCAAGAGCCTAAAATAGTGTGTAGGCACCGGGGGCAAGGTTTTGACGGAATTTCTTAGGGAGTTGACGAAAGTTCATAGCTGTATGTTTTGATGAGTTAAGAGATCAATGGTTAATGATTTTTAGTTGATGGATCATTACATTAATTGAGTTAAAGTTGAGAGACCATTGCTACAATTTTCTCTATTCTAATCACTACAAATGTAACTGTTTGTTAGATCTGAAGTGCCACGTAAGATTTTTCCTGCTCTAATAGAATTGAGAAACTCACTCTAGAAGTTTAAAGTTTTTGCCCACTCTCTAAATTTAGAGACTCACTATCTGACGAAGAATTTTTTTTCAGTTATTAAAAGATGCCATGTCAACTTGTTCCTACACAAAATAATTTTTGTCTAGAGATTGTCACTTGGAACCGAAATACGAACCAAATCGAATTGCACCAAACAGTTTGGTTGCGGTTTTGAAACCAAACCGCATTGTAGGGATCGGTTGGGTTTCAATTTTGGCTTTTGAAAACAACATCAAAATCGAACCGCACCGCAAATACTAAAAAACATTTAATTAGATGTCCATATGAGATGTCATGTTTTAATTGGTTTTTTGTTAGAGTTTCAACATTTAGGGGGGTGTATTCAATTGGGATTTTAAGGGATTTTAATTCTTTTAATGAATCTAGGGGTATTCAATCAGGATTTCAAGTGATTCTCTGAAATTTTAGGTGTATTCAATTAGAATTTTAAGATAGTTTATTAAAATCCTTAGAAATCTGGGTGTATTCAATTAGAATTTTAAAGAAGTTTATAACATTCCAGGTGTATTCAATTAGAAATTGATTTTAAAGAATTTGAGAAAGTTGAGGAATTAGAGAGAATTAGAGAGATTTCGTAGTGTATTTTAAGCATCTACAAATCTCACCTCTTCCCATGAGATTTCAAGGGAATTGAATCAAAATTTTATATGGAATCTCTACAAATCAATTAAACTCCATAAAAATCCATGGATTTATAAATCCATTAAAATCTCTCACATTTTCAATTGAATACACCCCCCTTAGTGTCTACTCAACAACATTAGAATATCGTCATTCATCATTTACTGCATGTTTGCTTGCTGCATATATAGTTGCTGGAGGTTTGTTTGTGCATATATTGTCCTAATTTCAAACAGAAATAGATTATCAAAACATCCTCACACATGCGTTCATTAATTAATGTATTGTGTAGAAAATGATACCGTCTTATGGGTAGATAGGTGTGTATTTTAAAATGTACATTTCTTTCTTAAAAACCGAACTGAAACAGCACCGAACTGGACCAAACGATTTGGTTTCATTTCGGTTTTGGTTTCAAAACCTCATCGAACCAAACCGTAAAAAGTTTCAGTTTTGATTTCGGTTTCACTCAAACCGTGCCCAACCCTATTTTTCTCAACTCGATTCTTATTATTAAATGATGAAAATTAATAAAATACTAAAAATATTGTGGAGTCGGTTGGAGCGTGATTGTAAAGTGGCAAAATTTGGTCTTCAAATTGTTACTTAAGTTAACAAATTTGTATTTGTATTTGAAGAGTTGAGTTTGGTGAAAGGGGCCGACTCTTTTTGTTTTGACTTGTAAAAACCCGCTCGATAACCGCTCAGCTCAGAGAGAGAGGGCAAGTGGAAGCAGAAGCCAGCCGCGAAAAGCTCGGTCCTTCTTCGCGATCCAAGCCTGTGTACTGGTAATCTTCTACATTCTTCAGCTAGGGTTTTGTACCGCATCATCGTCTTCTACCTAAGAACTCTTACCTTTTCATAATTTTCAATTTTTTTAGGGTTTTATTTTATTGCTTTTTTGCTTAATTTCTCTCCCTAATTTGTTTCCAGGCCTCTTGATTTTCTCTAGGTTCGATTTCTGAGCCCTAAAAAATGGTACCTTACTCTCCCTGATTTCTTGTTTTGTGATTTTTGTTTGGTTTCTCGGAAAACGGAGGGAATTGAGCTGAAATTATATGAAACCACACAAATCTTAGGGCTTTTTCCCCTTTTGAGCTTGAAATTTTGGATATTTTTGCTTCACTTTGTTAATTTTTACTATTGCAGCTTCCTCTTTCTTTGCTCAAGACTGCCCAAGGGCATCCTATGGTAAGATCTTGTATTGTGCCTTTGTTGTTTGTGATGATTCTGGAGTTAATATCACAATTTGACATAACCCCATTTTTTCAATTTGTTGTCTACTGAGAATTGTAATTTGTGGGTTTTCGTGTGCTGTTCCAGTGGTAGAACTAAAAAATGGGGAGACTTACAATGGGCATTTGGTCAACTGTGATACTTGGATGAACATCCATCTTCGAGAAGTTATTTGTACCTCCAAAGTAAGGGTCGTTTCACTCATATTGTTAAGTTTTGGTGGACTTGAATTGTTATATTATGATGTTACGAAGAATTTCATTAAATTTTTGTTCGAATACTGTGTAGGATGGAGATAGGTTTTGGAGAATGCCTGAATGCTACATCCGTGGGAATACTATTAAGTATCTTAGGGTTCCCGATGAGGTATGCTTTGTGCTTGCTATAAACTTTTTGTCTTTACTATTCCCAGCATTCGTTTTCTGTCATCAGACCTGGAGTATGGTTCGTGCTGGTTAAGGACAAAAAGTCCGAACAAAAGTTTGATTATGGTTTAAGGGGAGCCATGTGTAACGTTATAAAAATACACTGACACAACCTTGTTACGTTTTGATCAATTACTTCTGTATAGTGTACAAGGATAACACATGCAATAGGAGTTTTGATTTCATCCTGCTTTATTTGCTCTGATTTTGTTCGAATACTTTAGAAGCTTATTGAATTGATCTAGTTCTGTTGCCTTTTGTATTTCAGGTGATTGACAAAGTCCAGGAAGAAACCAAGAATCGTTCAGGTATGATATTGTTATCTCATTTGGTAGTGTAGATCTTTTTATTTTCTCTCCCTGCATCCAAAATGGGTAAAGGAGACTTCTTGGACCATTCTTTATACGAATGCCTTCGACATTAGACAACTATCTATATTATCTGCATGATATAGCTTTATCCATTGAGAAATTGGTCTCTAACGTTGTGTACTTTGATAAACTTCCCCAGATAGGAAACCACCTGGAGTAGGTCGTGGAAGAGGAAGAGGTAGGGAGGATGGTCCTGGTGGACGACAGGCTAAAGGCATTGGACGTGGCTTGGATGATGGTGCTAAAGGTGCTGGTGGAGGCCGAGGCAGAGGTGGACCTGGTGGGAAGGCCGGAGGAAGCAGAGGTAAACACTTGTTTCTCATCCGCCCCTTTCAACAGACACCCTGATAAGTTCATAGCTTATAAGTCATATCATTATGAATCCATATACTGGACTCAAGGTTTATTCTTTGTTTTTCTGTCAGGTGGGGGTCGAGGCCGAGCTTGATTCAGCTTAGATGGGCAATTTGCTACTTTTAAAGGCATTTATTTAGCCCAACGCTTGTGTCAACTGCTGGGTTTTTGTCGTTGTAAGGAAGGCTTCTTATCATGGTAATGCAATTTATATGGAATGGTTCTTTCAGTAAAAACGTAGCCGATGTGTTTCTGTTCTGTAAGAAATGTTTGAAAATTTGACGTTGACGATATATATTCATCTTTCACTCTTATTACAATCTGTCTTGGTGGTAGTATCTCCAGTGTGAGATGGTAAACTTTAATTAGCAGTACGAGGAGGTTTACAACTCCACCTCTCGATCGGTCAGGGTGGTACATAGTTGGAAAATTAAACAAGTGACATGAATTCAATTTTCTTTGGATCAATCTCTCATCTGTTTCCATTGAAACTTTAGAACATTGTAAATGGTGAATAAATCATACAAATATGGTACAGGCGACCACTATCCTTACCGAAACAGAAATTCAAGAGTTCAAAACATCCTTTTTTTCTAGTAGGGTTGGTGCCGTGTTGTGTTTCGGGTCCTAGGTGATCTTGAAACCAGCGCGCTTGAAATCCATGATCGGTTTATCTCGGGTGCATTATCTGATAACCAGCAACATAACCGGCCATCTTCACCGCCAGTCCATCCAAAAATGCCGTGACCTTGGCTGGATCCGCTGGGCGTGCTCGACATTGGCAACACGCTTCGAACAACACCTGTATGCCCACCTCCAAGAACTGCTTCAGCGGACCCTATAGCTTTGTTTCCTTCATAACTTACAGGGAAGTAACCTAAAGTGCCAGTATCAGTGCCACCAATTACCCATAACTTTTCTGCTTCTCTTGAGTAGTGGCAATCAACAAAATAATCGACCTGCCAAACGGAGTTTTTACTTGGCTTGGCTAAAAAGAAAAGCACTTTCCTACGCTAAAATGATGGCATGCATACGAAGTTTATCGATATCCTCCAATGTAACAGCATACAAGATGCATATCAAACGAATAATATGAAATTTTCAATTAAGGCTAATCAATAACTAGTAGACTAAAAGAGCAGAATCTGTTAAAGAATGACTTACATCGTCGAGTGTCCAGCCTTTAGAAGCCAGAGAACGAGCATCCTGGAAGCTCGTTTCGCTTGCATCTTTCCAGTCCCAGATACTACATGAGCGGTTATCAGGTTATAAGTCAGGGGAAATATAAGAAGCACAAGTACATGTTTGTACTCAAAAGCCAAGCCATCTGTCTTAACTTCGATCCTGTTTCGCGAGTTACTCCACTTGGGGTAAAAGATGCAAATCACTAACCAACCCAATACATGTTTATGAGACTATAGAATAAAAGTGGTGCATAGTATGACGGGGGTAAATTCATGATCAATTGATAGAAAGAGATACCTTAAGGTCTCAATATGGGTTAAACACCAAAGCTTTTGATATGTCTCTCCAAAAAACCCAACCTTCCCAATCGAAGTGCCAACATTTAGTACCTACATATTTTAGAAGGTAAAATGTCATGACTATGCAACACTATAAACTTTAAACCTCTTCAACTTGAACTTACTGAATCTAGATGATTGTCTTCATTGATATCTCCTTCGGTATCAAATATACACATCAATCCATCAATGGAAGCAGAAAGAAGCTTGTTTTGATGATCAGGGATGAAGTGAACCTATTGAAAACATGAAGTTATATATGCCGCCTAGTTTTATCAAGTTGCACAACCTTCATAATGCAATTTGGCGGAAGAAAATTTTTCACATAGCTAACCTAAACTGTCAAATCCATATGTTAAACAAGAAGAAGATGGATTAGAACGAACCTGGGTAACATCTTCTACATGAGAGTCCTCGAGACATGCTACTTGTTTATCGTTCCTCCAATCCCAGAATAGTATCTGAGTATAACAAGTCAAATAGCAAGAATGGGGAAAACAAATGAGATATTATCTGTCGAAATAAGTGAAGAATCATAAGCATAAAAACTTAAAATAGTTTTGCATCCAATGAGGTCTAGCAGACTAAAGAGTAAATGTGGAATGTTGAGCGCGCTATCCTCTGAAATTTTAGCCTATAACTGACACGATCTTCACTAATGTGGAACATCGAGTTATTGATAACACAAACATAAAACTAGAAAAATAACGAGCTACATGACAATCTTGACTAACTAATGACCAGAGCCGCAAAACACAATTAAAGCTGTTACAATAAATGCAGCACCTGAGTATCACACCCTGCGGCTAGAAGATTGTTCCCTGATCCTCCGAACGAAAAGCTGAAAATCTCTTGAGAAGAGCCGGAATGGAAAGATGAAACCTGCAGCATTAACAATCAAACAAAAACAAGTTAAGAAACATATGTTTATGTATGCAAAACATTGTTTGTTTATGTCTGCAACTGCAACTCGAGAAGCGAACCTGTTGGAATGTGCGCGTGTCCCAAGCTCGAATAGTTCCATCAGATGAGCAAGAGTGCAGGATATGTGGAGTTGATGGACCAGAGAATGCAATTTGGTTGATAGTTGCAGAGTGGCCCTTGCATTCTCCGTAGTACTGGCCCGTCACGGGCGAGTACACCTTCACGGCGTTGGTCGAAAGCGAAACTGCCATTGCCGTCCAATCATCCCTTCCACCAAAACCCCACAAAAATTCAACACCCAATGAATAATCATAAAACCCAAATAAGCACAATCCTTCTGGTTTCAGAACAAATTTACAAAAACGAAGAGATTGAGGTAAAGTGCGAGCTGACGAACGCAACCCAAAGGTGGAGTTGTTCAAATCTCAGAATTTTCCTGGGAAACAAACAGAGTAAAAGTTCGAAAAGGGACATACTTGGGGACGATTTGGAAGACATAGTCGTCGCCGAAGTTTGTTTGGATGGAGTTTTTGAGGGAGATACGCTTGAAAGGATCAGGATTGGACGGTGGTCGTTCCTCCACCTCCATGTCCGTGGCTTCCATCTCTGTCTGTCTCTGTCTCTGTCTCTCCCTTTCCGGCAGTCCGGCTGGACAAATGAACGTAATTTGGGGTTTAGGGTTTTAGTTCCGCTACGGTAGAGGTCAGCTAACTCTCGAAGATTTTAGCCACTTGGTAGCACTACGACATGAATAGTTACAAGTGCGAGGTTTTAAAGTTTGATTCTTGTTTATGAGAAATTTAAATCATATTATTATGACTAGTTCATTGTGAGATTTAGTCTACTTTGCAAAACTTTAGTGTAGATACTATTGTTGGTTAAAAAATACATTAAAAAAAAAACACTTCTAATTTTTAGTTGGTTTGAAGAGCTAATAACATTAGATTGTTAGATATTTAATTGTTAAGAGAGAAGAAAATCGGATAAAATTGAACCTGTACTAATATGCATAAGCATTCAACTACAATAAAACGTCATATGCAACCAATCTATCATAAACTTAATGTGTCATTTTCGCCACATTGTAACCTTAAAATTCATGCAGTGTGTTCGAAAAATGTACCAACACACAAAACTTCGTGTGCAACGTTTTAGGCATAAGCAGTATTCTAAAAGATCCTGCGTAAACACTGGAAGTGAGTCATTGCCCCGATTAATCTCGAAACGTTAAAAAAATAAAAAAAGAAACCTATACCCGCCTAACTTCCCACCCAACCCACCTAGACCTGCCTAGGCAACCGCCTAGACAGTTTAGGCTAGTTGGGCGGTTTAGTGACTTGTTGCTTTTTTTGCTTTTATTTAAGAAAATAACTTACTTTGCGACTCTCGCTTAGACAAAAAATTAGTAACTTCCGTTTCACATTTTATTTTTCAAGAAGTTTTAAGAGACTTGTTAGATACTTAGAAGAACATCCATTATATCCTAATTCCCCTACATTTTCAATATGTTCTAGTATTTCATAATTTATAATTCTATAATAAAATTTATATATCTCAAAATAAACATTTATTTATATTATATTTGGCCTATAACTCTTTGGCCCATTCGGTTGGAGATGGTTTTTTGTCAAAGAGCTATGTATGACTTATCGCCCTTTGGCCACATCGGTTGGAGATGATATAAAATATGACATAGCAATGTTCATTAAAATATAATTTCTTGCAGGGCTATAAGGCTAAAGGGAGCCCTTTAGTCATCCTTCGGTTGAAAATGGCCTAACTCTCTTAGTTTTTAGCCACTTGGTACTACTACAATATTCTTATTCACTTATAAGTGAGAGGTCTTAGGTTTGATTCTCGTTTATGGGAAATTTGAACCACATTATTATGGCTAATTCATTGTGAAGCTTAGCCCACTCCATGACACCTTAGTGCATATACTATTGTTTGTTAAAAAATACATAAAATAAAAAAACCTCTTCTAATTTTTAGTTTGTTTGAAGAGCGATGACATTAGATTGTATGATACTTAATTGTTAAGAGAGAAGAAAATCGGATAGAGTCGAACCCGCACTAATGTACATAAGCACTCAACTACAATAAAGCGTCATATGCAACCAATCTATCATAAACTTATGTGTCATTTTCGCCACATTGTAACCTTAAAATTCATGCAGTGTGTTCGAAAAATGTACCAACACACAAAACTTCGTATGCAACGTTTTAGGCATAAGCAGTATTCTAAAAGATCATGTGTAAACGCTGAAAGCAAATCACCGTCCTGATTAATCTATAAGCGTACATAAAGAAAGAAACTTATACCTACCTAACCTCCCACCCAACCCACCTACACAGTTTAGGCGAGCTGGGTGGTTTAGTGACTTTTTGCTTTATTTGTTTTTATTTAAGAAAATGACTTGCTTCATGACTTAGACAAAAAATTAGTAACTTTTATCATATATTTTATTTTTTCAAAAAGTTTTAAGAAACTTGTTAAATACTTAGAGGAACATTCATTATATGCTAGTTCCCCTACGTTTTCAATATGTTCTAGTATTTCATAGTTTATAATCCTATAATGAAATTTATATATCTCAAAATATTTCTGTAATTATAAAATATAAATAAATTTCATTCAATTAAAAAGTCACCTTGATCCCGCCTAGCCCGGACGCCATGCACTAGACTCCACTAGACTCCAACAGCCCGTCCGACTAGCGCCTTTTAGAACTTGAGCATCCGTAGTAATACTATTGAATTTTCCTCTTTTTGGCTTAAATACTGAATAAACAACTTACATAACTAAAAATTTATCAAAAACAACGTTCAGTCCAGGCTTTGAACCCACGATTTTTATTTTTATTAATTTTTAATTTTCCAATTTAAAGATACGTCTATAACAAACACAACATAACTCAGAGGGTAAGAGGACACAATGTAACTCATAGTGTAAAAGGGTTAACCCATAAGCAGGCAAACAAATCAAATATCCATCACTCAGAGGGCCTGGGTGCCTTAAAAAGGACACTAGTAGGAGGATTAAAATCCTTAAAATCCAGATCCGAGAAACAAATAACTAAAAGTACAACACGCTGCGTACCGCAACTTCTCTAAACCCAGAAGAACTCATCATTTAGCTAACACGAATGACGGGCGAGGATTGATTCGCACGGTTAGATAAAAACACACCTTTAGTAACTGAGGTGAAAAAAAGAGAAGAAAACACTCCATAGCCATGCAAGAGCTTGGCTGACCCTATCGGCAAGGGTCAGTAACACAAAATTATGCGTTCGTGGTAGCTTCCTTTTTCTCTTCTGAAGTACCAGCTCCGTCCTTACCAGCATCCTGCTCTTCGGCTTCCTTGTCGGTGGCCTCATCTTCTGGCTTTGACAGTTCTAGGTCTACATTAAAAAGCAAACATTATTGGTAACCAAGACAGAACATGCGACGATTGCTTTAGCAATCTTTATATTACTTATCATCCAACAAATGAACAGATTAAAGTAATTTTACATGCAACGATAAGCAGGCAAAAAATCCAAAGCAAGAGCTTATTCGAGGTAGAAATATTTAAGACAGAGAATTTGACCCTAAGATTAGAGAGCAGGAGCATTACCCCAATGCAATGGTCTGCATCAAAACCACAACGTAAACTCCTCCTAGGCACCCGAAACCTCAGGACTGAGACTGTCTAGGTAGAGTTATGTCCCAGCACCATTCGTACATTTAAAAATGTGGAAATAACTTTTAATATCGTGGAATGTTTAATCCTATATCTTGGTGTTTTGAATTCTAGACCTACACTTCCTAGTGAGATGTTTATCCATACTCGGCATGCCACTAAAGATTAAGCGAATAGTCTTCTTACCTTCGTCACTATCATCGAAGTCACCCATTCCTCCCATATCATCACCTCCCATGCCACCGAATTTCTGCATAGTATAATTAGAGTCAGAACAAAATATAGAAACATCAAAACAATCCAGGCAAGGGAAAACACCATAACTTAATATTTACTAACCGAGAAATCCATTCCTCCCAAATCCATGTCACCAAGACCTGATCCTGCTGAAAACAAGAAGTGGCAGTTTAATCACAAAGTACAACAAACATGCTGTTTTCGTCAAATTAAACATTCTGAGGAAATGCAACAGAATATGCGAGCTGCATACCGGCAGTGTCATCATCCTCATCTACCCATTTGTCCCAATCTACTTTGACATAATGCGGCGTCTTTCCATCTCCACTCAATAGCTTATTCCACCATGCTGGCTCCGCCTTCTCCACAATACAAAAGATACTCCTCACGCCAACATTAATTTTGCTTTCCTACAACACAACGCAACATACATGTCATACAACAAAATAAGAACCAGCATAAACAACAACATCTCGTAATAACGTAAGAGCATTTGTGATTGCATATACAAATCCTCACCTCCACATTAACCTTATCAAAAAGATCCAGTTTGAGTTCATACTGGTGATTCTCCGCACCAGCACTAGCCGAGAAGCTGAACACTCCCTCGGGTTCAAGCTTAACCTTGGCGTCCTTCGCATCAGGCAAAAGCACAGTAATGAAAACCTTATCCACCCTTTGAGCCCACTTCACCTCCGGATGACGACTGCGAAATTCGCAGCACGTTTAGCCAAAAACAAGCCCCAAACATGCATCAAAATCAAGTGAATATCACCCATACAAAAACTAAAATCAAATTCTCTCCGTGATTTCTTTCTGTTTTCTATAAATTTCGAACCCAAATATCAACAGAGAATTAGGGACAAATAAGTATACTTAAATCACTATAACAATTGTTCAATCCAACAGATAAAAAATACCCAATAAAGCAAAAAGATTCCCATATATTAATTCAATTTCTCGAACAATATTAAACATAGAAACACGAATAAAATTGAATTTAACCATAAATTACAGAGTTTACAAGTCTACAGAGAGCAATCGGTATCAGAAAAAACATACAAAAATTGCATACCAAAGAAAACAATGGCAGGAATGTAAAGACGAAGAAATCAGAGGGCGAAAGCAGAAGAATTGAATAAAATTGAAGAGAGAAAGATGAGATTTTTACCTCATGTTTTTGCAGGTAAGGAGAGAGAGAGAGAGAGAGAGAGAGAGAGAGAGAGTGTATGTAAAACCCTAGAAGCTGGAAAGAAAGCAGAGAGAGCAGAGCTTGAGTTTTACGGCCTTGCGGGAAGCCTACGCAATAGCAATAAAGAAAGGAGAGTAAGAGAGATTACGCGATGCTTCTAGACTTGTAGGCTTTCTGGGCTTTCGTACAAGGCCCAAACTCTGTGAAATCAGTCACAGTAAAATGAAGTGGCCCATTAACTCATTTTCCTAGGCCCATTATGTGTTAATTTTTATTTTTTTTAATATACAAAACGATGTTTAGAGAAATGAGTGAGTTGAGCACAGGATCTCGAGTGCATGAGTAAATAAATCTTTCATGTTATTATGTATGTTTTAATAACCCCCAGCCGAACGGGCACGTAGGCATCACTTTAATTTTTGCTTTGCACATATACCCTCATGTTGGGAGGGGCTTATAGCTCAAGTAACGACATTTTTTTGCAGGCATCACTTTAATTTTTGCTTTGCACATATACCCTCATGTTGGGAGGGGCTTATAGCTCAAGTAACGACATTTTTTTGCACATCTGATGCCTCCCAAAATTTACATGGATCATAACATGAGG